ATCAAACACCCTGCAATAAAACTCACTAATATGGAGAGAAGATCTCGAAGAAAGAGCCCAAACTCCTCCCCTTATCCTGAAGCTCACTTTCCCCTTTCCCTCTTCTCCCCCACCAGGCTCAAGTTTTTTTTGCATGTGTGTATTTTATTTTTTTTATTTAAAAGCATCGAATGTTCACTAAGAATGTCTATATACCACGTATTGATGTATTTTGAGAATCTATAGATTTTTTCCTTTTCATGTTTGGTATCAGTTAAAATATAAGAAATCATAAAAGGCACAAAATAAAATTGACAAGGTTAGTCCTGAAAATCCATTAGATTTGTACACACAGACTTGCAGCTTCTACCGTCACACCAGGAGGATGCATATCATTTATGATATTGATTTCTCCCCTCTTACTAATTCTGAAATGCTTAAACTGACGGTCTACTTCTCATCATGTGTCACAACGACTGGTCTTTTTTTAATATACAAATACCAATATTTTTATATATCAATAATTGGAGATTAGAGCTAAACATACTCAGAATGACTTGCCTGGATGTAACTTTGCGCTGGTATGTGAATCACATGCTTCAAGTTTTCTCTTAGTACCTGTCAGAGAATTCATACACATCAATTTTGTACTAAATCAACAGCACAATAACTGTTTTATTGATAAAAGAAATTGAATACCTTGGTTGACCATTATGGGTTGAATGTTTTTGGCCAAAATGCCTAAAGAAAAGAAAAAAAAAATTCTTCTCTAATTGTCAAAGAGTATATTTTTCTGTTGTGTAAAAACAATTGTAGGGATATAAAAATGAAAATGAAAAGTACAATCTCTCATTTTAACTGATAGTACAAAATTAGTTGGCTTACCATGAGAGGGAATTCCTGACAGAGCAGATTGTGATGGCACAGGAGACAGTGGAGATGTTTCTGTTACAGGTCTGTTTACGTAAAATAACAATATTACTAATAAATAACTATAATATGAAAGCACCAATTATCCTATACTATGTATTATGTTTTAACCCTTTAACTGTCACCTGTCCCCTCTGTGGGACGCCTAAATTTACTTCACTATATTACAATTAAATCCTAATCATGACAAACTATATATCGTTGGAAAGGTCTAAGACTCCTAAATAGATGACAACTTTGGTGAAAGGTTTTGATCCACTTCAAATGTTGACTACTGTATATATCATTGGAAAGGTCTAAGACTTCTAAATATATATTGTACCAATGTTTTTGTTAAAAATTATGTAGGAAAAGTAATAGATTAATTTATGACAAGAGTGCACCTCAAAAATCTTCATCATAACAGGAGTTCTGACTTTTGTCACAAAAAAGTCTCCTTTGTTGCCTTTTTCTCGATCACACTTTAGAAATCATCAGAAATTATATATCAATTGAAAACTTTAAATCTCAAAATTCATCCTTTGAAACCCATTTTAAAATCAAACATTGCCATGAAAATGGTACATCAATATCATGTTACAAAATGTTTTTGTTCATGAATTATAAAAATTTAAGTTTGGATAGTGCACTTTCACATCTATGTTCAAAAATGTGAGTGACAGTTAAAGGGTTAAAAGAGACAGAAGTTTTAAAATTTTTTCATTTTGTGACTTGATTACAATAAGAGTTTATTACGTACTGTTCTTTCTGCTCACTCATTTCTGCTTGCTTTTCCTTGGCCTGCTCATAAGTGGCTACAATAAAAAATAAAA